CAAAGACACTTGTAAGTTTCAATGTGACAGTCACCATATTTTACAGACAAAAAACAACAACAGTTTATTTCTACTACTGTAGACAACTAAAAGAATTTACAAGAATATAATTATAAGTAAATAAATAAACACAGTACATATATTGTATGGTGGTGGGCAAGTTCATGCCTCTTACCATACAAATGTCACCGTTCGAGTGTGAAATTTCTCAACTTAGCGGAGCAATATCTTCTTTTTTAAGTGGGGTGGGGGGGGGGGGGTTGGGGGCAAACAAGGTTTACAACTTCGTTCCCAGGGTTAGGGCGGGTAGGAGAGAACCCTGGGAACGAGGTTGCAAGGTTTACTGTGGGAGATGCGAAAATGGCGAATTTCGTTTAATATAATGAGGACCGAGGATTGGCAAATATAAAGTCAGTAGCTCTTTTTTGACTGTCTCCCAACGTTCGCAGACTTGTACTTACATCAGGGGCACCCAACATCAATTTTCGGAAAATATCTGTTCGGAAGACGATTTGAGATCGAGAATTTTCGGAACATTTGTTGTAAAATTTCTTGTTTCCCTGTCTCTCCTAGGATTTTCCAACATCTAAAAAATGGTATAATTACCAATTTTTAACGGATTTTTACCCTAATAAGGTCACCTAGATTTTTCGGGAGCCTTTTTTCTGGCTGAAATTTCGAAAAGGTAAGTTTCGATCCCTATAATTTTCGGATCAATAGACTTTCAGCTAGGAAATCCGAACAGATGAAAAATTTTTCGGGGATAAAAGTATGCCTACATCTACCGTTTAAATGCTAAAATACGTTTAACAATGCTATGTTTAAGTGGTTTTGAACTATATTCTCGTTGGGTGCCCCTGTTACATTTTTAGTTCATAAAATCCTACCATAAGTTAATGACCGCGACGTTTAATAAGGTTTACTACACTTGGCCATTGAGAGATGAAGGGAACCAATGTAATGTTTCATAACAATATAATAATAACGTCTATTTAGATTTTAGGATACCGTCATTTATAACTTTCTGGATAACTTTCACTCTTGAATGCTTACTAGAATTTTCATAAATGGTTTACAATCAACAGGTATATAGGAATTACAAACCACTTTCAATCAAGAAGCTTAAGTTGAATATTTTATAGGGAAATCAGTTCAACAAGCACAACGCTCGGTCTGCATCCATGGCCTACGTCTGGACGAAGGTTTTTACATCACCTGTTTTGTACTCAGGTACAATTATAATCTTTTGATTATAATTCAACTCTCATTAGGCCGTTTTTTAAACATCATTCGAACATATTTGTATATGAGCGTATCTGTTCAGGCAGTGTACCCGTTACGCCTCACCTATCTTCAGTCATATTTGAAATCAAGCAGTGATGTAAGGTCTATAACTTACAGTCGTTTTATAGACAGTCTGTCCCTCTGCGATCGTAGAGCATTTGTGTTCTCGATTATCTAGGATTAGATTGGCAAATCTACGTGTTTATATCACAGATGTGCCGGTGAATTGTAGCTGTACAGTTCGAAAACAAGCGACAGAGGTCTCCATTTGTTGAATAAAGTAAGCTTCAAACTTACGGCTATTGACGGGACGCCGGGACAGAACGATCCTCTAGAGTTTGCTTATCTGCTTTCGAGCACCCGAGGATTAATTCAAGTCTTTCAAGAGTTGCCCAAAATGCTGTCGAGTGCGAAAAGAGGAACTAAACTTGCTCTTTCAAGACAATAAACTAATACGAAAACCACCCAATCAGCAGCGTTTAGTCTTCCGGGAAACCACCCTCGTTCACCCTGAAGTTTCGAGAAAGAGTGGAACTGTAAGAATTGAATTGGAACGAACTACTGGATTAGCTGGACATGGGAACGAACATTTTCTCCTTTGAGAAACCAACAGTATGACTGGTTTAAATAGTTAACATCTGTCAGAACTAAAGGAAAAGTACTGAATTTTCAGGCTCTGGTATGGTCTTTAGTTTTCGTCAAACTGAATCTTATCCAACACATCAATCTAGACGCTTCATGTGTAATTCCCGTGGTTAATCCAATGCAAATATTTGTCAGAATATTCTCGAGTTAAATTGTCGAGCCGAGTATCTTTGGAACTGCTTTCGTACCCTTTACGGAAACCGGATCGTCGATTCATCTGACGCCAGTGTCAGAAATTACTTTGTGTATGCATCAAAAGGTGTCCAAGGAGATCGTGAGTGCAGAGAAGCCCTGGTGACGATGTTTGTTGAGATTTCTTTCAATCCACCATTTTGGTTTTACGATGTCAGGTCATGAATTTTTTGAAAACCAGCAATTTCAACTTTCAACAATATTGCTTGAAAACACATGGCTCCATCAAAAAATTATTCGACAAAGCCAAGAATGGTGATGTTTTTGCCCAAGAAGACCTGGGTTTGGCTTACTATGAAGGAGGCGATTTTCTGGCTAAGGACATCGACAAGGCAATCTACTGGTTACGTAGTGCTGTAGAAAACGGGTATGAAGCTCCAGCCGTTCTTGGAAAACTAGGAGAAGTGCTAGATTTAAAAGGAACACCTTCATCCCAACGGAAGGCTTTCGAGATGTACAATAGGGCTGCGAATTTGGGGTGCACAAATTCGCAAATCAATCTTGCAGAAATGTATCGATGTGGAGTTGAAGGAGTCGTGAACGAAAACATCGAAGAAGCTTTTAAATGGTATAAGATGGCGGCTGGTGAAAACCACCTGAGTAATGATGGAGCGCTGGAACAGTTATTAGCTGGAGCAATGAGAACAGTGGATAATACTCTTGGTAGTGTGTTGAAATTTAAGGCCCTTAGACTTTTGTTCAAATACTACCTCAATGGAGATTGTCCAGAGGGCCGACCACAACCAACCAAAGCTGTTTATTATTTGACCAGAGCAGCTGAACTAGGCGATGCTGAGGCTCAGCTAGAGTTAGGACAAATATATCTGACCGGAGGTTGTGAGCAACTCAAAGATGTTGCAAAGGCAAGACGATGGCTGCAGAAGGCCTCTGCTTATGGTGATTTGAGGGCGAAGCAGGTAGGTGTGATGGCAACTTTTGCATTTGGAATTATTGGGGAGTGGGTGACAAGTGATTAGCACAACTCTTTCTCAAACTCTCAAATGAAAGAGTTAAAGGCTGTTTATCACAGGTGTCAGGGAATAGATATTAATAGGTAACTTATCAAGTTGCCCCAAAGTCATCTCACCCAATTGAAAGTTATGTTTCCTGAAACCAGAGTTAAGTCACCCAAAATTTATGGTTAGTATGTTGGGTGAAATGTTATCAGGTGTAATACACAGAGCATGTATATGTTGTGTATATGGCAAAGAGCGTGTATATGTTTTGGTTCAATTTTATCCTTGGTTTAAATTTTATTTTCCTTTGTGTCAGAGTCATTATCATACATTACCATACCCCAAAACAAAGGAAAATAAAATCTAAACCAAGGATAAATTGGACTACGACATATATATCTGGTTCTTCAAAACCTCATGAGACAAAACAAGTGGGTCAAATGTGTAGAGGCCCTGCCAGGGTAAATTCCGACAAGCGACATGACCCAAAGAGTAGCGACAGAGTGTAAAATGAAATCGCGACAAGAGACAACCTGCCTCAGCCAAACTGCGACAGTGATGGCAAAGCCGAGAATAAGTGTCGGACAAAGAACGTTGGACTGGCTAATTTATCACCAGTCTGAATGCCAAGAAGAAGTAATTTTTTGATCAATTTTCCTTGAGCTTCTAGGAACGTCTGTTGTCAGTGAGCTTGTGTGGAGTCCCTCCTGTGAATTGTGTTAATTGTGAAGGGTGATGTATAGGTGTTCGATATGCGAAATGTTAACTGAGAAGTTGCAGAACTATAATGGTTTCTTTATATCGCATCACTTTTCCCCTTTTCTACAATTCCGACAAAGGCAAAGAATTTTTGTTCAATTTCCGACAGTGGTGTGAAGCATTTATAAACACCAACACGAGACGTTTTAAAATTCACACAAGGGACATGAGACANTTCTTTATATAACATCACTTTTTCCCTTTTTTACAAATCCAAAAAAAGAAAAAAATTTTTTTTCAAATTCCCGCAGGGGGGGGAAACATTTAAAAACACCCACCCGAGACGTTTTAAAAATCACACAAGGGGAAAGAGGACCCCCCCCCCCCCCCCTGGCAGGGCCTCTGTGTAATATATCTCATTCCTTAAGCAATAATGAAATGAAAGAAGCACAATAAATGAGTAATAATTATATCTTGTTCTTTTAGCTTTTATGTAGACAAAACAAGCATGATGAATGTGTAATAGGGATTTTAGGATGTCGTTGAACATGATAAAATTTTGCGCGATATAAGAAGCATTTCAGGCAACTTAACTAAGAATTTTAGGGAATATAGCTCTGGTTTCAGATTACACAACTGCAGGCAAGATGATTTTGGGGGGAATGGACTTTAAACCTGTTAATATAATCAGTCATCAGTTCGACATTTGAAGGGGTGCATGTGATGATTTTGATCAAGGCTGTGCTCTAACAAAAATTAAAGGGAGCCCAGAGCTTTGAACCTGTGAAATCTAGGGTGCCCAGCATAGTATTTTTATGAAAAAACTAAGATTTTCTGGTCAGGAGCAAAAGTAAGGTGCCAGGGGCCACCATGCTCTGCTGGAGCACAGCCCTGTTGATTGGTACTAAAAATCATTGCTCAAATTGCCTTAACTTTTTCATGCACATGCCATTTTTAATTGCTCAACAAATACTGCCTTGATTCATTTATTTCCTGTCAGTCCAAATATGTACAGTGGAACCTCTATTCACGGTAAATCCTAGGGGCCAAGGAAAGTGTACTCTAAATAGAAGTGTCTGAAAGGAGAGGTTCCACTGTACCAACGTTTTCTCAGTTTGTGTGGGTTCCCTGTGGATTCACTGACTTTATTGTCAATGGCCAAAGAAACTACTTTGGTTCTATACCAGTCGGTGGTTAAATTTAACTGCTCAAAGGCATGAAACTTGCTTACATGATTGTACAATCATGTCTTCCCCAATTATCTTGGGTTCATTCCTTGCCATCTATGAGTAATAATGGCCTCTTCCTTTTCCTGCCAAAGAAAACCCTAATATGGAGAAGGCATTGTTGGATTGGCCAATCATGCTGCAGTATGATGTCAAAGCGAAGTAGTGATTGATTTCTAGAAAGTTTTCGGGCTTGAAGTTTTTTTCACCGGAAGGTTTGAGTAGCCAACCAAATGCCAAGCGCATTTGTATCTGTTCGATAAATCAGTCAAATCACTCTATTTCCGTTTGTTTGTTGTGTTTGTTTTGTTCACGTGTTTTCATTTCGAGGACATTCGAAAACCGCTCTTTTCATGTTGAAGAAAAGGCAAGCATATGGCTAAGAGAGAAGGTAAAGGCATCAATGAGAAGGTACCGAAGAATATTTGTAAATTAGCTTGTACTGTATGCTGTCTGAGAAGAAAATTTCTTATGGTCTAGGTTGTAATGCTATTAGCAACATGTATTTTGTTCAGATACAAGTTTTGTTTCAATTCATAGTTTTATTTTTTTATTTTCAGCTTCTTGACGAATGTTTAAAGCAAAGTGTTGATACTAAACATACTGCATCAGAAGTATCTGAAGAGGCTTTCCGTCAAACATGTGATATCTTGAAGGAAAAAATGAAGCAAAGATCTGAGGCAAGACTGCATCCCTTTGCTATTTCTCAGCCAGTTCCTTTAACAGAGAAATTGCTCTCTGATTTTGGACAGTCTCCAACAGCAAGAATTTACCTCCAAGCACTAAAACAAGTGAAAGAAGGCTTTGAAGTTCTTCAGAAGAGTAACTTTACTAATGAAAGAGGAATTACTCTTATAGCTCATGGGTATTTGACAGAGAATTCTATACTACAAGCATTTCCTGCTGATGTTTATNCAGCCCTGTTGATTGGTACTAAAAATCATTGCTCAAATTGCCTTAACTTTTTCATGCACATGCCATTTTTAATTGCTCAACAAATACTGCCTTGATTCATTTATTTCCTGTCAGTCCAAATATGTACAGTGGAACCTCTATTCACGGTAAATCCTAGGGGCCAAGGAAAGTGTACTCTAAATAGAAGTGTCTGAAAGGAGAGGTTCCACTGTACCAACGTTTTCTCAGTTTGTGTGGGTTCCCTGTGGATTCACTGACTTTATTGTCAATGGCCAAAGAAACTACTTTGGTTCTATACCAGTCGGTGGTTAAATTTAACTGCTCAAAGGCATGAAACTTGCTTACATGATTGTACAATCATGTCTTCCCCAATTATCTTGGGTTCATTCCTTGCCATCTATGAGTAATAATGGCCTCTTCCTTTTCCTGCCAAAGAAAACCCTAATATGGAGAAGGCATTGTTGGATTGGCCAATCATGCTGCAGTATGATGTCAAAGCGAAGTAGTGATTGATTTCTAGAAAGTTTTCGGGCTTGAAGTTTTTTTCACCGGAAGGTTTGAGTAGCCAACCAAATGCCAAGCGCATTTGTATCTGTTCGATAAATCAGTCAAATCACTCTATTTCCGTTTGTTTGTTGTGTTTGTTTTGTTCACGTGTTTTCATTTCGAGGACATTCGAAAACCGCTCTTTTCATGTTGAAGAAAAGGCAAGCATATGGCTAAGAGAGAAGGTAAAGGCATCAATGAGAAGGTACCGAAGAATATTTGTAAATTAGCTTGTACTGTATGCTGTCTGAGAAGAAAATTTCTTATGGTCTAGGTTGTAATGCTATTAGCAACATGTATTTTGTTCAGATACAAGTTTTGTTTCAATTCATAGTTTTATTTTTTTATTTTCAGCTTCTTGACGAATGTTTAAAGCAAAGTGTTGATACTAAACATACTGCATCAGAAGTATCTGAAGAGGCTTTCCGTCAAACATGTGATATCTTGAAGGAAAAAATGAAGCAAAGATCTGAGGCAAGACTGCATCCCTTTGCTATTTCTCAGCCAGTTCCTTTAACAGAGAAATTGCTCTCTGATTTTGGACAGTCTCCAACAGCAAGAATTTACCTCCAAGCACTAAAACAAGTGAAAGAAGGCTTTGAAGTTCTTCAGAAGAGTAACTTTACTAATGAAAGAGGAATTACTCTTATAGCTCATGGGTATTTGACAGAGAATTCTATACTACAAGCATTTCCTGCTGATGTTTATATAATTCCAATACTGTCACAATTATTTCAGTTATGTGAGAAAACGTTGGAGAAAAACCCATATTTCTTTGAAGCCCTTGTTGTCTCATTTGCTTTGCAAGCTTATGAAAGAAAACTTTCTATGCAGGGATCTATTGGGGACATGAAGAAAATCATGTGTATAGATAACTTAATTCATTTTATCAAGAATGCTGAGCCAGATGGTGTTCCCTCACAAGAACCCTTCAATGTCAATAAGAACTATACTAGCTGGCTTCATCTTTTGTATTACTTCTTGGCAGCAATCTTTACTGCTGGAGGGGTCTATGCAGATGCAGCCGAGGCTTATGAGAATTCCCTTCAGTATTGCCCATCATATTACGAGTCCAAAAGAGGACTCGGCTATACATTACTGTTGCTGTATATTTCTAGATTACCGGTTAGTGAGGAGTTGAGGCAGGTGGTAAAATCCAGAGAAGAGTTGCCCAAGCAAACAATGAGTGAGAGAAAGATTTCAAAATATGATTCTTGGACAACTCAGCAACTGAAAGAAATGGCTGTAAAAGTGTTAAATGAGTATGTGGAAGAGGCCCCTTATTGCCACAAACCGTACCCACACGCTTACTATTATTTGGCAAAAATTTCTTTACTTGAGCAAAAACTAGCTGAATTCAGGAAATATTATGAACAAGGCCAGGATGCAGAAGAAAAGAGACTTCCTTTTTTTGAACCAGTTTCCCTGCCAATGAAAGATCTTATGACTCCTGTCTACCAACTATTTGTCAATGTACAGAAACCAACTGGGTGTAGCAACAGGTCTTGCATTCGGAAGGTCAAAGAAAGTGAGCTGAAGTCCTGTAGTCGATGTATGATGCAAAAATATTGTAGCAAGTAAGTACAGTTGTACATTGTTTTACATGTAATTTCCTCACAAAAAGGGGTGTGGAGCTCAAACTGTTTGTAATCTTTTGTTAAAGAATCTCTAGTGGTGAGAATGACATGCAGTCAAACCCTGTTAATACCGATACTGAGAGGTCCACAGAAAGTGTCCATATTAAGCGGGGTGAATTTAGAGAAAATTTAAAGGCTAGGGACAAGGCAAACAGTCTGTAATAATGTGGTGTCCATATAAAGCAGGTGTCTGTAAAGCGGGGTTCAACCGTACCAATAATGTCGTTGCCATAATATGTATTACATTAAGCTGAATAACACCTTTCGACTTGCATACATGTAGGTCTATCCTACCCTTTAAAACCCCTCAGTCACTAATCATTTGTTTTCATTAAATACTTGTATTCTTTTCACAATTTTCAGAGAATGCCAAAAAGCCGACTGGAAGAATCATAAAGCAACTTGCAAAACAACTTGTGATGCTGTAGAAGTTTTCAAGTTAAAGGGCTAATTACCTGAAATGTTTCTGTTGGTGAAGCAAATGACAAGAATGTCAGCCTCATTATTCTTTCTTTGAAAAGATTGTGGTTACCTGCAGGGGTTTTACCTACATTGCAGTGTTAACTATGATTCATTCATTCATTCATTTATGATACTATTTTCGGGAGTGATGCTCTCCCTCCAACTTGGCATTGAAAGTAACAGAGAGTTGGAGTGAACTGATTTCAAGGGAGAGGTTCTTTTTTTTCTTCCAAGATAGAGGCCACTATCTTAGTACCTCTGAGTGTCCATTAAAAAAAGCCTGACGGGGGGGGGGGGGTTGGGGCTTCAACTTGTTTGGTTTAAGTTGCTCAAGACTAAGTTCAAATACACAGTAATTCAGAGGGCAGCTACTTGTCACTTGTAGAATAAATGACAATTTCTTTACTTATTAATAACTAAAAATAAGTGACTCGTGTACTGTTGAAGACAAGACAGTGAATATGAGATTGTTCATGTCTCAGTTTTTGCATAATGTAATGAGCGGTGAGTTACAGTACCATATGAAGTGGTTAAAATTTCTGTCAGCTCACTTTTCTTTTTGAATTGAGTATAAATCGATTGAAGTGGATTTTATAGAGATATTACAAATAATCGGACCAAATATAGAGAAGTTGTACTATAAAATCACTGCTTATTATACATGTAAGAATGCAGGCCTTGATGTTTGATGGTTCTGTTAAGAACTCATTNGTTTTTTTATTTATTATCATTTTTGGGGGGGTTGCCCCCCCCCGCCAGTGGGGGTTAAAAAAAAAAAGGGGGGGGGGGGAATGTTTTTAGAGGGGGGGTTTTTTTTTTTTTTTCCAAAGAAGGGCCCCCTTTTTTGGGCGCTTGGAGTTGCCAAAAAAAAAACCCTGGGGGGGGGGGGGGGGGTTGGGACTTCAACTTGTCTGGTTTAAGTTGCTCAAGACTAAGTTCAAATACACAGTAATTCAGAGGGCAGCTACTTGTCACTTGTAGAATAAATGACAATTTCTTTACTTATTAATAACTAAAAATAAGTGACTCGTGTACTGTTGAAGACAAGACAGTGAATATGAGATTGTTCATGTCTCAGTTTTTGCATAATGTAATGAGCGGTGAGTTACAGTACCATATGAAGTGGTTAAAATTTCTGTCAGCTCACTTTTCTTTTTGAATTGAGTATAAATCGATTGAAGTGGATTTTATAGAGATATTACAAATAATCGGACCAAATATAGAGAAGTTGTACTATAAAATCACTGCTTATTATACATGTAAGAATGCAGGCCTTGATGTTTGATGGTTCTGTTAAGAACTCATTTTTCTTTCAAGTTGGTTAAGAATACGGCCTTGGCAGATAACACCCTTCTTGATCTCTATAATTGTTCATGCCCCAGTTGTTCAAAAGTTGGATAGCGCTATCCACCGGATAAATCTCAATCCAGCAGATTATGCTTTGGTTTCCCTAAAACTTATCCACTGGATAGCGATTTATCTGGTGGATAGTGCTATCCAACATTTGTACAACTAGGGCCAGATGATTACTCAGCCTCATTCAATAATTGTTAATTATTAATCAATAAAAATATTTCTCCGTTTCTGATTGGCTAAAAGCGCACGCATAATTCACCATAACCAGCTACTATTGACCAAATTTGTAAGAATTTTGAGATTAATCAGCCGATGACATCAAAAGTGCAGCACATTTGCAGGTTAATGCACCGTCAACCGAGAAGACCTGGGGACGAGGTTGAGTTGTTTTGGTTGTGAAAAGAAAAATGGCCGAACAGTTTGCGGAACATTTTACTCGTTTCACAATGAACTATTGTCTACAGACATAGCAAGAAGACAACTTGACGGACAACATCTGCTATTTGGAGTATATTTGCAGACCTGAACAGCCCTTTATCTTCTAAATATGCACTATCAAGGTGAACTTATCATCGACAAAGGTAAGCATACTTTAGGTTATTTTTAAACTAGGATTTATTTTGAATGAATAATAAGCAATTAATGAATTCGGCTTTCGTAGGATATAAAGAGCAATGCGGATCTCAGAGATCCACCTTGGCCGATAACACCCTCCTCGATCTGCATAATTCATATCCTACTCAACCTCATTTATTTATTGCTAAGTATATAATGGTAATTGAACTGAGTGGAGTGCAATTTGGTCTGAAATCATACGCATGATTTTAAAATCGAGTTTGATTTGAAATCACAAGTATGATTTTAGACCAAAATTGCATGGCATGAAGTTCAATTACCACTTTACTACAACCATTTTGAAATCGCAGAATTCATTCTGATTCAGAAGTGATTTAGAGCAAAAAATAGTGTGACTCATGGATAAATCACACTGCTGAGAGCCAATCAGATTTTAGAGATCTCGAATCACTATAGTGATCTCAAAATGGATCCTATAAAATTCTTATATTAGTATAATTTGGACTTACAAAAAAAACTGTGAACACCAGAAATATTCACGGAATGTTATTGTGTTGCGAGGAAATAGCCAATAAGGCATGAGAAAACCAAACCGCAAACAGCAACGGTAATTAGTTTGTAGTTTTGAAGTTTGCTTGGGTGTCCTGAACATTATTGTGATTGGTCACCACACAATCAACATTCCTGAAATTTTTCATGTGTTCACGGTTTTCTTAGTTTCACAGTAATAGTAATATATTATTTATGTAATAAGTAAATAAATCTTATTCTATGATATTATATTATTTATTTTTTTTGTATAGTAATTTGAATAGGCTCAGGTTATAAGCAGTATAATTTAGTAATTTATTACAATATTATTTATTAAGTTAAATGATTGTTATTTTACAAAATGTTAAATAAACTAGCAGGAGTGTTTATCAAGCTAAAGGCACAAGACACAGTGGAGTGTTTAAGGCTTGATAGATCACACTGTGAGTATCTTGAATGGCTTCAAACACTTCTGTTGTAGCTTCGTTCATTTTTGTTAGAATAATATTGAAGGTTTGGATTACTTTGACCAAAAACGTTCGAAGGTAGTCACTCGTGCACTACAACCATCGTTTTGGCATTGGAATGTTTCTTATTTTTGCCCTGCTAAGTTCCTGGAAATCGCTTTATTACACATGGCCTTTATTTCCAAGCGGTTTTCGTGCAAAGCATGGGGTTGCCTAAGGAGGTTTTGTTTGTCTCTCTTTGATTTCTTCTTCACTTTTTTTGTGGAAGATCTTACTTCCATCATTTATGAAAAAGGAGGAAATAAACGAGGGGAAATGTGGCTTTGGAGGTGGGTGTCAGGCAGAAAGACGAAGACTGGAAGGAAGCATTTTTACTCCTCAAACCCAGGTTAGATGGTGAACACATTTACGAACTAGGTAACATGAAAAGGTAAGACTACAAAAACTTCATTTAATTAAATCTTTATTTACGTATGTATATCTCAATGCACTCAGCAACAAGTTACAGTCAAGAAATTAACCAATAAAGCTTTTTTTTTTTTTAAGAGGAACGTTTTTTTGACTAACTGAACCGACTATTTAACGAATAAAAAGTCAACTTAGTTATTAAGTTGACTTGGATCAATTAAAACCGGTTGCAGTCCATCAGACAATAGAACTTACAATACTATTGGTTGGAGAAATTATCTGTGCTAAAGGCCAAAACATGTATATAAGTGTTACAAAACACCTCGGTAGTTTATAATATACTCGAATTGTAACTGAAAGAGCCAGTTTCTGGCTCGCACATGGTTTACTTCTATACATGATTTGGACTTCATGTGTTAATGACGGTGCCTCGTTTCGTCACTGAGTGTACTTACTTTACAAGCTGAGGAAAGTGCAACTCGGGATCTCAAAGCAAAGAGGTCTTTTATATAGCAATGGCTAGTCAATAACCACAAGAATACAGGGAATAACCACTCAGTTTTTCAGTTTTCCGCAGCGATCGGCCTTCAATTTTGCCAAACAAAAAAAAAAAAAAGAAAAGGACCATTTAATTGCTGCATATTTTAAAGCTCTATGCTTGAGCCTCTGAAAAATGCCTGGTTATCCCCAGTTTTCTTAGCCTGCGGACACAGACGTATTTCCTGTCGTTGCTTCTCTCCACCCGAAAAGTAACTTGAGTTAATTTTCGGGTGGAGAGAAGTGACGACCGGAAATACGCCTGTGTCCGCAGGCTACAGTTTTCTAAGCCAAAAACATTCAATAGCCCAGAACTACTTCTTTATACATGTGTCTGGTATTTTTTTGGCCGAACAATATCGGTTACAGTCATTACAAAACCTGACTGCAAGAGAGTGCTATTAAACCAGTAAGGCGACTTTAAAACCAGGCTCTCAAAAACGACGGAGTGAAACTAAGTTTTTACTATTCCCATAATGGCGATGTGCTGCAATTGTTAAAAGAAGGAGAACTCGATTGACTGCGTAAATACAACAATGATTACAGCCACCATTATATCCGGCGTAAGCCGTCTATCGCAACGTTTACATGCTTGTTGTCTAGTAATGATGTAGGTGGTCAGCGAATTAAATGTGTTTTCTTAAATCGAGCCAATTGAAACCAAAACTAATAAATATAAGTTATCAAATAATAAGTATTTAAGTATCCTAAAGAATACGTAACAGTTACTTTAAATTTTCTACAGCTGAATATATTATACCCAAGCTTACTAACGTAGCGATTATAAGAGCATGTTCTCTGAATAGTTTTACATGCTTAATTTTGTGGTTATCTACTAAGTAACTGCATAATACTAATTTTATCTCTTTGTTGGAGGTGAATGTTACTTTTTCCTTTATTATCGAGGTCAGCTCCTAGGTAAACCTTTTCTGTACTTTTCAGAGAGAAAAGAGGTTGTCTCAGAAAGGTGCTTTTCAAGTTGTTACGTTTCTTTGCGAAAAAGGGATGACCGGCGATTTTTCCAAGTTCATCATTTATATTTAATCACCAAAAATGGGAAAAATAATTCATTCCAAACTTAAAACTTTTAATCTCGTTGCAGCCATTAATTGCTTTCTGCAAAATTCGTTTTGATTTGTCCGAAGAAGTATAGCAGTCTTGGGGTTGGTCCCTATAAGAGCTTGCCTACGGGCGTTCAAAATTGGAAGAAGAGGGG